ATACGCATGATGTGCGAGTAATTCAAAATTTGTACAATACTTTTTTATTTTTATTTCTCGCCTTACTTCGTAAAAAGTTATGCGCCGAAAACGGTATTTTTCGAGAGAAAAACTATTACCGGGACCTGGTTACTAAAAATGGGATAAATCTTGTTCCTATATGTAGCAAATCATTACCTCTAACACGTTTATTCAGAATCCAAGTTTTTTATGTCCTTGATTCCGAAAAATCGATTGACAGCTAAACGTCTATCTGTCCGTCAGTCTGTCCTGCAGTGCGTCCGTCAGCAGTCAAAACTAGCGACTTAAGTTTTAAGGATCGATTTAAAGGACCTCGAGGAACCGTGATTATAAACAGATATTTTGATTTTTTTTTTACTTTTTACATGAAACCTCAAATACATTTTCAAAATTTTCTTAAAACTGGCTACATTTTTTTATCACATATGTTCTCTTTGAGTCTTCGTTCTAGCGTAAAAGATGCCTAAATGAATGGCGCAGGTCTCATTTTCGTTCAAATCCTTGATTCTTAGAAACTGTAAAAGTTGATTCAAATGTATTCTTTAAAATGTCTTTGTATGTATAAAAACACGATGAAAAGTTGGTGCTAGTCTATTTTTCAGAGATCTTCCTGAATTTTCGAAAGTTGCAAAATGATAATATTGGAAAACTACAAATTTGAATATATAGAGTTTGTTTTCAATGAAACAGTTTCTGAAATATCAGATGTACAATTGTCTTCTTCTTCTGCACTTCAAGGATTAGGCGGCTGCCTGTTCCGTCTTCACATATCAAACCATCTTCTGCGTGGTCTCCCTACACTCCTTCTTCCTGTTGGGTTGCACTGCAGCACTTGTTTAGATAGCCTATTGTGCTCCATTCTTTCTAAAAAAATTTTCCAGTCTTGTTTGTGTAGTTGTATACAATCATTTAGACTAAATATATTTAATTATTTTCTTATATCTTCATTTCTTTGTTTGTCCAGCAAAGTACAACCTTTTACTCTCCTTAAAAATGTCATCTCTGTGGCTTGAATATTCGTTTTTTCTTTTTGAGAGAGAATCCAATTTTCACTCCCATACAGCCTGTGGCACCAAAATTTTAACATAGTGTCTTTTCTAGTCTTATTTCTTAATGTTCTATGTAGTTTTCCGCATATATTTTGGAACTTGTGCAATTTATTTTTTATATCTTGGCTCCGGTCGTAACTTATATCACATCCCAGATAATTGAAATGTGATATTTGTTCTATTGTTTGGTTTTCCAGGCTTTGTTCTAATTGGATAGACTTCTTTAAAAGCCATGACCTTCGTTTTTTGTTTTGACATTTTATGTTATAATTTTTACACATTAGATTTAACTGATGGAGTGCCATTTGGAGATCATTTTCCTTTTCATACGTAATAACTTGGTCATCAGCAAATAGCAGAGTATTGATATAATTATTTTCGTTCAATCTGATCCCTTGTTTTATTATTAAATTCCATTCTCTAAGAGTATCTTCTATATAAATGTTAAATAATATTGTGGAAAGGCTGCACCTGGTTTTAATCCTTGGTTAGTTTTTAATGGTTATGATTGTTGTGAATTTATTTTTATTCGGATTTTTGTATTTTTATATAAACTTTTAGCTATGTTTATTAAATGTTTTGGAAAGCCTTTTCGATCCATTATGGTCTATAATCTTCTCCAGTTTACACGGTCGAAGGCTTTTTCAAAATCAATGAATGCAATGAGCATGTCTAAATTAATCTCCCTTCTTTTCTGTATTATTTGGTTTAATATAAAAACATAATCAGTGCAGGATCTCCCATTTCTGATGTCATTTTGTTCTTCTAACAATATAACTTCAGCTATCGTCTTATTCGTCTTTTGGATCATTTTACTGTAGACTTTATATGTTGTGTTTAAGAGGCTAATTCCTCTATAATTTTCACAGCTACTTCGATCTCCCTTTTTAAGAACAAATATTATTAGGACTGTTTGCCATTCTTCTGGTATCGTACTTTTTAGCCAACATTTATTGTATAGATGTAACAGTTTTAAATGGAGAAAAGTGCTTCAT